TACTGGAAAGTTGAAGGTGTTTTATTTGTGTATTCAATCAGCCATGAGAAACAAAGCTGTAATATTTTAGATATTTATGGGAAACTGTCACCATGAGTTAGGTAAAAATGTACACATTACAGTTTTAATGTTTCTAATTTCAATTGAGCATTCGACTCAATACTTGGTACTACCCAGAATGATGGCTGTCTATTTGAAAATATTTTGGAATGATTAATAATGTGGGGAAATTTCATTGTGGGGAGTTATGTTTTGATATTGTGTCACAATATGGTCTGAACATTCAACTTTTGAGAGTTACTTGTTTAAGTTATTTTCAATTGAAGTCCTATTTTTACATTTTATTTTCAATTTAGGACCCCAGCTATTTATACTTTTACATAATTATTTAAATCAAAATGCTATTAGTTTGAAATTTAGATTTTCAATAATTATAATAAATAATTATAAATATCTTTACTAAAGTTACATTAGTAAGAAATTTAATTATTTAAACTTCATTTATGCAAAAGTTAATCTACGTTAAAATTATAAATACGGAAAATCAAATTTAAGAATGTATAATTTAAATATTATATTAATTAATAATACATATATGTTATAAAATCAGAAAATAAACTATATAAAAGATTGTTATATTTTTTTTCTATTTATTATTATTGAAAACATGATTTGTATGTAACAATATTATTTTGAAATATTTATAACTAAAATAAGTTTCTAACTACTTTAAAATTTAGATATTAATCAATATAATATTTAATCTATATTTTCTTAAATTCAATTTTTAATTTTTGAAATTTTAAAATAATTTTGCTCAAATTTTGATTAAATGTAACTTATATGAATTAATTTTTATTATGCTAATTTTACTAAGATACATACATTTTATTATCAGTTTTAAATTATATATTCACAATTTTTCGAAATAGAAATTTTATTCAAAAATAATACTTTCAATAATTTTATTTAGAAAAAAATTAAAATAAATTTTTTAAATAGTTTATTTCTAATGATATTACATATTTAGATTATCATTTATAATAATATTTAAATTATGCATTCTTAAAATTTAGTTTTCAATAATTTTTTAACTTTTCAATATCGTTAAGTGCATAAATGTAAATTATATGAACTAATTTCCTTAGAATGTAATTTTACTGAAGATATTTAATATTTTTTATTAACTATAAAATATAATTTCAAAATATTTTTTTTAGTTTACATAATTATGTCAACTAATGAGTACACTGCACAAGACGAGCACGGACTGTGAGAGGAAATTACTTCGATTGAACGAGTGTCAGAATGACGTGACATTTCGTCAAAAATTGAAAACTTAAATTTTGAAGTTAAAAAGGATGGTTGGGTCGAAAATTGTTATACTGATCAAATGAAAGAAACATAAGTAAGAAGGTCGATTGTGCAAGCTGTGACCTCAATAAACAAAGTGAAAGGCAATTATCTACTTGTAGCTCGAGTTAAATTAACTCGAACATAGTGGAGAGACCAGATGATATGAGATACCATACTGGGTCAAGTCAACCTAAGAAGCAGATCGACTGAACTGGATAAACCACGAGGTCGATCGGAGGTTGAAGGTTGGAGAGGCGTAGTTAGAGTGCATCACCAACATGTAGAGCCAGGAGTTTTCTACCTTTCCACATAACCGAGAAAAAAAGGAAAAGTTACCCTAATACATGTATTAGTTTGCTACCTGCCCATTACGCGGGACCACCTTTCAGCCCTTCTCCTTTTTGGTTGACAACCTATGTTGGGCTGACTAAGCCCACTATCCTCTCAGAAAGTGAACCGGGTAGCTCATTCATAGGGTGAGCCGAATTCGAGGTATCCAGAAGTCCATTTCACTCCACCCATTCTTTCGTGGAATAACAAGTTTTCCCATTGAAAAATGTCTCAAATGGATTGAGCAAGACGCGCGAAAGCCGAATGATTGAGACCGACCTCCTTTCCTCAAAACACCCAGGAGTTAGAAAAGAATAAGCGGTACAAGCAGGCGATTGCCGAAAATGATTCCGACGGCCTAAATAGATTGAATTAGACTAAAGGGACTTTCTGATTTGGTTCATAAAGGTATCCGAGTGGTCAAAAGCGACAGACTGTAAATCTGTTGAAGTTTTTCGAGGAGTGAGTCTTTGTGTTTAGCTGAGGAAATGAAGGTGTTATGGCCTGCCCGAGAAGGAGATTCAGGCTTTTTATGACAGCGAATTTCTTGATTCACGATCCTTTTTCCCAGCTTTGGCAATCTTACGTACTAAATAAAAGGCCTGCTAGGTGATCGAAATCGCTCAGATCGTTTGTGTTCATGTTGGCGATTGATAAGGACCCAACAAACTTTTCGAAGCGAAGTTCAGTCACGGAAAACGGTTTTACGCGCGTTGATTTGCTCCTCCTAAAGGACTAAAAGCAGAGGAAGCCCGCCCCAGACTCTTAACTTTTTCTGTGGTAAGCCCCCATCTCATACATACTATACCAAGATAAGTAGATGGATAATGTTCAAGCTCTAGGGATAGGAAGCCCGAAGAAGGAAGGAGGCATCTCCTTGTTATTGATCTCTTTATGATCTATCTCTATATTGGACCAGGAAAGAAGAGGCAGGCTGTTTTCGAAGATCATAAAACCTAACAGTTGTTGTCCTCTATGCTGTCGGTCCACCTTCCTTTTTGCTACTATGCTCTTAAAAAAATCGGCTACTGGGCTTTGACATGAGTGTTCCGGGATCGTCTGACTGTATCCGAGCTTCCAAATCCAGATGGATTTCACTCTTGACGTCTCTTCTTTTCCATCGATTAAAGGAGAAGTATTTGCTCGCCCGGAACTTCCAAAAGAAAAGAACCTATTTGCCCGCCCTCTACAGTTCTTTCATCAGTAAAGGATAGAGTACTTACTCCATTGCTCATGGGATCGTAATGGTCGGCCTCTCCTTTTAGTCAAGATCTTTGAACCTCGGGCACTCTCGATCTGTTCATTCATACTGGTTTAAGAGCTCTTTCCGATGGTTCAGTGGGAGAACTCTCTCTTACTCCCTATTGAATTACCCGAGATAGAACGAGATACCTCTTTTTAAGAAATTGTAGAAGGGACATGAAGCTGGAAATCTATCAAGGTTATTTAGAAAGTGGTTAGATCCCCCCCCCCCCCCCCCCCCNNGGGGGGGGGGGGTTGTTCTAAGTCGAATACCGGAAAGGAGGAGCTCCTCGATGACAATGACTAGTCAACCAATTGGAAGAGCACCTGACATTTGAATCTCAAGAGAAAAAAGTGTCTTAGTTGGTGACGAGGGTCAATGTAACTGAGAGAAGGTGTTATGTTCTTTTTTCAGCATGGGAATTTGCTATTAATTCAGCTGAATTTCTTGATTGACAATCTATTTAGGCCGTCGGAATCATTTTCGGGGCCCTCGAAAGGCTTGTTGGAAACTCGACCTGAAAGGTATCAGGGTCGACGGATTGACCTGAAAGGCAAAGCATGAGATCAATGAAGAAGGCGTTTTACCTCAAGGTGAATCAAATTAGTCGCATGATTGGACCGTTTGATAAAGAAGACTAAGAGATAATAATGAATATTAGTAGGATAAGAACCACATGTATATTCTACCACGTGGCCTAACATAATTTGACAGTTCGAACACTCGGGCAGCGAACGAGCAGTTCGGGCAGTTCATCCGTCAGGCTTAGACAACAAGACATCACCCCTATATAAAAGAGTGAGGTATGACAATCTAAACTCTACACACTCTTTCTACATTCTGATATAGCACATAAGAATAGCTTGATAAACCAGTTAGGCTCGATCAACGCGACGACAGAGGCAGGCCTGAGGAGGCTGCCGTTGCCGGCAGATATCGTGCCGACACGATTGGGAATTTGATCGCGATTATGGTCGATGGGAGGGCCCGTTTCGCGTTGACATCCCCGGATTTGACGGAGAACATGATGACGGGCCATTGTACGACAGTCTGCCGATTTTCGATGAAGAGCCTCCAGCGCCCGAGGTGACTCTTTCTGATTTTGGTTTGTGTAAGCCACTGGAAAAATATTCAATCTTACTAGAGGTTGCTGATTTTATTTATCTGTATTCTAAAAATGAGCGTCACGGGCATTCGGACACAGAGACTGCGTTAAAACAGTGGAAACGCAATCATCGTGCATTGGCATATTCTACAGTGTGGACACTTGATTATTCGGCGCCAGAGGTTTTATTAAAGAAAGGGATGACATGTCGCAAGATAATAAATTGGAGAACATGTTTGAAGTTCCCTGAAGAACCAAAGATGTCTTATGAGGCTAAGGATCTGATCCTCCATTTGTTTTGTGAGGTTGAACCACATTCAACCTTCGTGTTCGATCGGGGGAAACGACGGGGTTTCCTACCATGAGTTCGACACCACACCCCGGGCATAGGAGCGCATCCGCTTCGAGGGCCAAGCCTTCCAAACCGGGGGAGAATGGTGTAGAATAATTATGATGCTTATTATTATTATTATTATTATTATTATTATTATTATTATTATTATTATTAATATTATTATTAAATAATTAGTAGTTAGTTTGGGGAATAAGCTAGGGTTTAGACCTTATTTAAAGGGCTCTTTTGCTTTGTTATGGGGTGGTGAATTTTGAGAATGAATCAGATATTATGAGTTTTGTGTGTTTTACGAGAGAGTATCTCGTTTATCTTTCTCACTCGTACGCTTCCCTACATCATTCGGCCTAGGAGCTGCTCGATACACAAGAGGCTGATTAATAGCTCCTCATATGAGTAGCTCGGTGTAGAAGTTGCTCGACGTATTGAGGCTGATCAATAGCTCGTCATAAGAGTAGCTCGGTGTAGGAGTTGCTCGACGAACCGAGGCTTGTTAATAGCTCG